AAATTATAAAAAAAGACATCAGGAATCTAATCAATAAATGGTTGTTATAGACTAAGCACACTGTCCATTTAAATCATTTTTAGCAACAGAACATAGTCCCATTACTTCATAATGTACAGAAAACTGCAACTAATCTAAACCTGATTTGGAGCAACCTGCTGTAGTCTAGTTGTAACTGCGTACTGCGCATTGCTTTCCTTTGCGGTTGTCATTAAAGCACCCCTGTAGCATCGAACAAACAATATGCCGTAATGAAAGATGATTGTGGACATCAGTGCTGTCATTATTTTCTCTTTTGTGCTGTGCCACCTTTGAAGATTTCATTATAGTCTGAGCCCCCCTTGAGTTGGAGTTTTGTGCTTTCATTCAGCTTTACACTGCACCTACTGTACTAATTACCCAAATAATCAGAGTGGTAAACAACATTAGGCTAGTTGGCTTGGGGCAGTTTCTACCACTTCTCTGAAAAGTGATCTGCAAAGGATTACTTTTCAGAGGCTACTTCAGTAGAGCAGTGGCTTCCAGGCATTCAGGAGGCAAGCCACACGCTGAATGTTTTTTCCTGCCTTTTTTTTTTTTCAAATGGCAACTTTCAGGGGCGGACTGACAACTCATGGGGCGCCCGGGCAATAGGGGATCATTGGGCCCCTGTGTCCTTGCCCAAACTCAAAAAAGCCTATGAAAAAAGTACCAGGGGCATCTCATGGGGCCCCCTACTGACCCCGGGCCCTTGGGCAGTGCCCGAGTTTCCAAATGGTCAGTCCGCCCCTGGCAACTTTGCACTTTGGGTGGAGCTTCAGCGTGTGACGTCACCACGTTGTGGAGGGACGGCGGCCATCTTTCTGGTTGGAAACTTTTATGTTTAATGCTGGTAACTATTCACATTGATGTACGTGGAACTTTTATTAAATCAGTTTACAATATTATTAAATTACTACACTGTGAGTGGTCTTCTTTCTATATCCTTTGTTTGACTACTGGATGGGAGTCTTTTTTCTGGCTTTTTGAGGACCTTATAAGAGGAAAAGTGAACCTTATCCCTAGGAGGACTGTCAGCTTTATCATCCACACTATTGATCCCTTTTTGGGCTGCATATATTGACTGGTGTGTTTCAGTCTGAACGTCCAGTAATGGGCTTATTCATTCGGGTGCCTTGGTGGTGGTATATGGTGCCGAACTCCTCTCGTGCAATTTATCCAAATCTATTTGATTATTATTTGGACTTTATGATTATCTATTATGTTATAGATTAGCGCTGCATTTTTCTCTGTTTCCATATGGCAACTTTGCACTGCCTGTCAAATTCAACAAACAGTTAAATGTTCCATGGCCATGAAGCAAAGCATTGTTTTTTCTTTTTTGTTTGTTGAATAGCAATCTTGCATTGAACTGAACTGTCATAAGCCAAGCATTTGACTCACCTTTTTGTGTGCATAGTCCCATTGACTTCAAGCACATTGATAAGCAAAGTTCAAGTGATATTAAAGGCTTATTTATTCATTTTTTGTAAATAACAAACATGGTACACTTACCTGATCTCTGTAAAGATTTTGTACAGAGCAGCCCCAATCTTCCTCTTCTCGGGTCCCCCGTTGGCTCTCTGGGCTCCATTCCCCTGCCGAGTACCCCAATAGCAAGCCATTTGCTTTAGGGGCTCTCGTGCTTGCTTGCTCCCGAGCCCCACTCTGTGTGTCCATAAGACATTGTATAAGACATGGTATCGGGCTCAGGTAAGTATTAGGGGAGCTGCATACTGAAGGCTTTTTACTTTCATGCATAGAATGCATGAAGGTAAAAAAAAAAAACTTCAGGCTCTACAACCACTTGGAATATGCCATGGCCACGAAGCAAAGCATTGTCGCAATGGTTTGTACAATTACTTCTAGCTGCCTTGTTAGGTTTTTAGTGGGCAGTAAAAATGCAGCCGAGCCACTTGATTTTACTACCTGTGTGGACAAGGCCAGAGTTACCCAGTTAAATAAATGAAAACAAAAAGGCAGAAAGGTCTACCTTCCCTATTAACATCCTTCATGGTGTGTATTTATAAATTATATCACTGCTTTAAAGAAAACCTCTTGTAGAAAAACCTATGTGAACCAATATCTCCATACAAGTTCAAGCACCATAAGAACCCAGAACATTGGTATATTTTTAAGTCTGCACTTTCAGAGTGCCATAGGATCCTCTCTCTGATGTCAGCAAAAAGAAGAACGACTTTCTGAAAGCCAGAATCCCACAATGCAATGCAGATGCCTTAGTGCCATACAGAGGTTGCAATAGGCAACACTCTCTCACGCTTTGTAATCCAAAGCCACACAGCACCAGTCACATAAGTTACCTCTAATAAAGTATGTCCCATGTTCTGCTCGCAGCTATTGTAAAAATCCTTTCTCCAGTAATGCCACCTGCTCTCCCCTTTGTGACACATTTACAAAACCGCTAGTATTGTTCCTCCAGAATGCAGGGCATTCTGCGAATGGAGGAGGGACGGATGAACAACAGGATCTCCACTGTCCATTCACAGAATGCCTTACATTCTGTGAAAAGAATACTAAAAGTTTTGTTAACTGACATGGGGAAAGGATGGGGAGGGTGAATAGTGTAAGTCCGTCACAGCTGCAGCATCTACTCTTAACTCCGAAGTGCCACCCCAACGCCGGAAGATGTGGGCACATCCGGTGTCACTGTAGGGAGGATTTTTACAGTAACCAGCAGAATATCGGGCACACCTCCTTAGAGGTTACTTAAGTGACTGGTGCTGTGTATCCAAAAAAATGTTTAGTGGACTTCAGCATTAAGGATAGCATATTTTAGGTGAATGCATTGTAAATTAATTATGTAGTGTAAACCAACTTTATATGCTTGTAATTGCATATTTTTAATATTGTATTAAATGTGAAGATTGGCAGATGGCAATAGATGGTGTGATTTCTTTTCTGCAGCCATCGCTCGATATTCCCCCTCAAGCCAGTTACCAAGAACACAATAGCTCTAGCTGCTGGCAATACTCACATGGAAAAAAAAAATCCAACATGCTGGTATTGGTCCCCTATGTGATAGCAATAGACTCATAAGTTAAAAAAAAATAAATAAAAACACACATTGAAAGTTAAAAAAAAAAAAAAAAACAAAAAGAAAATAAAGCCTCCCCACCCCCACCTATGCAGACATTTCGGTTTTCGACCAAGAGCATCCTGAATTTTAGTTTTCGGCACCAGAATTTTCATTTCGGTGCACCACTATTAGCAATAATCACTGTCTTCTCCAGGTGGTGACAGCTTCCCCCGCCTGCCCCTGCCCCCCCACCAGAAGAAGACAATTTGCTCGGCAGGAAGGATTCCCTTGTCAGCACTGTCTGTGTTGATGGGGGAATCGTGCAAATTTTCCGTGGTTGCAGGAAAGAAATTTGCACTGTCTATGGCCTGCCTTATTCATAGACTTGCACTGTGAGAAGCAGCAGTAAAGCACAACCAATAGATATTATAGGAGGCAGAAACTACTGTGCATAATGAGACAATATGGCCTCCCCCCTCACAACTACAAGCTATACAGGGAATCATTTTAAAAACAGTAACATGCATTGAGATAATGTATATCAAATTGATCACTTTCACATGTATTAATCTAAAAATCAAAAATGTTCCAGTACATTTCCTTTAAGTAAGCTAAACTGAACAGAGCAAAAGGAAAAAAAAAATACATTGAGGTATACACTTACGTGGTACTGTTACTCCATAGTGCTGGGTGTCACTGATCAGCACTTTCCTCTTCAGTTCATTTAATCCAACACCCACTGGTCCTAGAAGTATGAAAGTAATAAGTATGAGTACAAGCCAATATGTCTGGTGCATATCAGTGCACATCACCATAGAATACCAACTTCAGAGTGAAATATACAAAGAAAATATCTGTAAACTGACATTATAAATTTATAGAAACGTCTGTAACAAGATACAGTCAGTACACATTGCGTATTTTGTTTTTTCATATGCAGTCAGTAGATGGAGCTCTCCGCTCCTTTTTACATGTTGCGCTGGGTTTTATTTTCTATGCTAAAACAGATACTTTCATACAAAGCTAAATACCTCAAGTTAACATTTACATACACATATACAGTTAAGCCAGCCATACATGGATTCAAATTAAGCGGTTCAGCAATCCATGCACGGGCTAGCTGGCTGTACAGAAGTCGATCTGTCGATTGACTTCTGTACAATCAGCCTGTTTTTTTTTTCCCCACTCAATCAGTGCTGCCGGCTATAGCTGGCAGTGCTGATCAGTGTGTTCTGATGGAGGGGAAGTCTCCTCATCATCAGAACACAATAGCACTACGGGAGTGATTTCCCCATCCACAATGAATGTGTGGATGGGGGAATTGGCACATTGGTTTTGCTCAATCTGCTAGTTTAATGATAAAAAATATATACTCTATGGCCTGCCTTATAGAAGAGGCACACAGCCTCTGTATTGACATTTTTAGATAACAAATCGTGTTCTAGGAATTTCTTGTCATGTAATGTTTACTTGCAAAATCCTTGGAAAACTTTAATGCTACATTGACCAAAACATTGTTTCCATATACAATAGAAGTGCTTTCTTTTTCCAGTAGCTAATTATCTAGTTACAATGGTTTTTTTTTGCGTTACATATGGATTTTTTAAAATCAGTATCTTTGACAAATAACTGTGACCACAGCAATGTAAGTCATTTCCAGTCCCTGTGAACAAAGCATGAACCGTGTCCTCGTGTTGTCAGATGTGTTTGTAGCCTGATAAGGGTTTGATTTAAAGCGTTACTAAACCCAGGACCCTGCATTCACTATCTCTGGTCTCCCACAGTACACAGAACACAGAGATGCAATTATTTTAGAAAATATAAACTGCTAAATACCTTTTCACATCAGCAGTTAGAGCAGTCTTGTGACTTCTATCAGTGTCCAGCCAAGCACTGGTTAAAGCTTGTAGGAGTAGTTTTCATTCTGCTTTGACTATCCTATGAGGCTGCATGACCCCAACCCTCTGTCTGGACAGTGCTGATTGGCCCTGTGCTGATCACATGCACCCTCCGAAAGAAATAAAAAAAAAAAAAAAAAAAACGCTCTAGCAATACACACCAAACAGAGCATGAGCAGAGTGACTCCTAGAGCTCTGTCAGCAGATGGATTGGGGACTGTAGAAGAAGGGGAGGATCAGAGAAGACAGGATCAAACAGTTTTTTTACACGATGTGGAGGATTAATCCCCTATGTTCCACAGTGAGTATAACAAGCATGCTTTATTGCGTATACAGACTGATTTTTACTGTTGTGGGTTTAGTACCACTTTAAACCCAAAAATGGATACAGTATGGAAAACGTTACTTGATGGTAAACAATTTCTACTGACTGCTGTAATCTCTGGACTTTTCTTATATACATGGTTGGACTGCCTTGGTCAATTCTGGTTGCGTGCACAAACCTGTGCTTCACTGTATATGTTGTCCACTACTACTTATTTTTATGTATATATTATTTTAGAAAATAAATTGGCACAGACCCACTTTAGATTTCCATTAAAAACTGGCAATTTTTGTATTCTGTTTTGAATCAAGGGATGAACAATTATTAGAAGCATTGCAAGAGCCAATCAGTTAAGCCACATGCAGTCTCCTGACCACCAGGGAATTTTTTTCTGGGGGGGACCCAGATGGGGGAAAGTTCATAGAAAAACATAAGAAAAGATTATTTAAAAAAAAAAGGAAAGTTTAAAACAAAGTTTGGCATTGTCATTTTATCTTTTGCTGTGAAAGGTTTTAAAGGTAAAGAAGAAAATCCCATAACGAAGGCTTTCTTACCCTTTAATATTGAATTGTATACAAAAGGCACAATGAACAACAATGGGTTCTGTATATTGCGAAAGTTTTTGGCATACTGGCGTTTCCAAGGCAGAACAATTTTTCTTTGCAAATAGAATAATAAAATGTGAACACAAAAAAGAAACATAGATATTGAGAAAATATTTCCTATAATTTATGTGTATAAAATATACATGTTGGTTAAGCTTGAAAGGGATAGTTATTTTGTGCTTGATGTCTAGGGGTCCTCCCAGGACCCCCATAAAGGCCCATTACAACCCTTTCCCTTCACCAGTTCTCTACACTGATGTAAGAAGCAGAATTTGGCCCCATTTATTTACAAGGGGAGGATGTGCTGCAGGCGCAATTTAACAGAAATGTTCAAAGTAAAGCTCTTGTAAAGAATGTAGCAGCTTAATCGCCTCTGACATATTTCACACAATTAGACGGTCTACAGCAAAAACAAATATATTAGTAGTAAACCACACTGTTTAAATATTGTTTTAGGCGTATTTTGATGAAAACTGCCTTACTCCTTTAAAGACCCTTTTTTAATGGCAAGCTGCATTGTGGAGCAGATTTTTCCCATCAATCTTTAAAACCGTGCTACACTTAAAATTCTATTTTAGTGAAGCATCCAGACTCAGGGATTTAGTGCTGGGCAGCTGGATGTTTCCAGATACCCTTTCTGCAATGAAAAGAATCCAGGCACTTGCATTTAAGCCATTGTTTTATAATAAACATCAGTCACCAACTGTAAGCGGTTATTACTCACATCTAGAAACTGCTCACAGTTTGACAATAAAAAAAAATGTGAAATAAAAAAAAATTGTCCTCAAACTGTTTACTCTTGGACAATCAGGGGTTTTTAGAAGGGCTCTCCATGTCCAGTTTTCATTAAAATATTGTAGAGGTGCAGAAGCAAACTCAACATATATGTTAGTATTCCACATTTAGAAAGCTTCTTCTGCTATATGTCACATAGCCCATTCTTCGCTATGATGTCTGAAAATCAGGAACCTTGTTGCCAGTTCAACAGACAAGGTGGTCTGCCTCACTTGGGGCTGTCGTAAGTCACAAGAACTGTAGTTGCACCTGTTCGTAACTAACAATGTCCACCTTAGCACTGCACTGATACAACCATTCATCTAAAGCAGATGAATATGCCGTTTTATTAGTCTGCAATGTCAACAATGGAGGGAAGCCAATCTTGGCTAGTTGCCAAGTTAAGGAATTCCTGGAGTCTAGCTCCGATAGAAGAGTGCTAATATGTATGTGCAACTTTCTAACTAAAGCGATCAAACTGTACAAACTAAGATATATCAACCTGGAGATCAACACCACCAAGTTTAGATGATGAGAGACCACTTCACAAATATTCCTCAACGATAAAGTACATGTTCATCCAAATTAGACTAAACAAATTAAGAATTTCACACAGAAGAAATTTTGCACCTCTACAGTTCTCTGCACCCCACGTGATTATTGACTTTTAGTCATTTTTAACCTCCCTAGCGGTCTGATTATTTCAGTATTTCTGTGCTCAAGCGGTACATTGTTTTCAATGGAAATATGTTGTTTTTTTATTGTAGGCTGTAATTTTTAGGAATAACTCTCACTGAAATCTGTCCGAACAATAGTCTAGTAAACATCCCCGGTATGATAAAATTTGAAACACAAAATCATAAATTATAATATAATAAATAATCATAAAATAATAATAAAATTAATCAACCTCCTTAGCGGTGTTCCCGAGTGTAGCTCGGGGTAAAATTTCTGTACCAAAAGCGGTAACCCCGAGCTACACTCAGGCTTACCATGCGGCGCTGTTCTGGGGGTCCCTGCAGCACTTACCTTGTCCTTCGCTCCTGCGATGTGTCCGCTCCAGCGTCCCGGCCAATGCCGGCATCCGGCTCCTGTGTTCCGGTCCCTGTGACGTCGGGACGTACGGGCGCCGGAACCGGCGGGAAATTTGAATTTTTTACAAAATGTCATTTTTGCTGTCATTGCTATTTCAATGCATTTCACATACATTTTGTCCCTACTGCTTTGTCCTGTGCCCTGCCTGCATTTTTACTGTTCTTTCTGCCTGGAAACTTAGAAAAGTCCATGGCGTCCAAAAAGCGTCCCTTTACGTCAAAAGCGGTTTTAGAACAGCGATAGTAAATCAGAACCACTTGCAGAATTGAGTGATAATGATTCGTGGGGAAATTCATCATCAGACACTGAAAACGATTTTGCGACTTTGCTCAGCGATGTGCGAATTTGCCTCTGTATTTCAAATTTCAGTGTTTTTGGTTTGATTATATTATTGAATTAAATTTATTATATTATTATTTTTTATGATTATTTATTAAATTATAATTTATGATTTTGTGTTTTAAATTTTATCATACCTGGGATGTTTACTAGAGTCTTGTTCGTACAGATTTCAGTGAGTTATTCCTAAAAATTACAGCCTACAATAAAAAACTACATATTTCCATGCAAAAAAATGGTACCGCTTTCAGCACACAAAAATCGGAAAGAATCAAGGAGGTTAAACAATGTAATAAAACCATAAACACTGACATTTGAAATATAGCGCCAAGTTCGCACATCACTGAGCTCAGTTGCTAAATTATTTTCAGTGTCTGATGACAAATTTCCCCACGAATCATTATCACTCAATTCTGCAAGTGGTTCTAATTTACTATCGCTGTTCTCTAGCCGGTCTAAAACCACTTTTGACCTAAAGGGACGCTTTTTGGATGCCATGGACGTTTCTCAGTTTCCAGGCAGAAAGAACAGTAAAAATGCAGGCAGGGCACAGGACAAAGCACTCGGGACAAAATGTATGTGAAATGGTTTGATACAGTAATGTAATACTATCAGATTTTAGTGTATTGAGTGAATGTAAAATTTTTACATTTTTGAAATTCCTGCCGATTCCGTCCCCTGTATGTCCCGACACTCACAGGGAACGGAACCCGGAAGACGGATGCCGGCATCGGCCGGAGGACATGGCTGGGGATGCTGCAGGGGGTCATCTCGGGACAAGGTAAGTGCTGGAGGGATCCCAGAGCAACACTGCAGTGGGGTTACTGCTTCTGGTACTGAAAGTTAACCCCCCGCTACACTTGGGAATACCGCCAGGGGGGTTAATAGAAAGATGTTTTAAACTTTGTACAAGTTAAGGCAGTTAAGGTATTGTTTTAAGTTGACAGCATAACCCAAGAAAGTTTTGTGATCTCACTGATTTCTTAATAGAAAATTATGATGAATTCAGCAGGGACCAAGTGACACTTCTGCTCCTGTATGCAGAAAACACACAATTTCCCCACTGGGGGTTCTTGAGACTATATAGCAGTGGTTATCACGTTTTGAGCTAAAGGGGGCCTCAAATGTAGCCTAAGACCAAATAACTGCACATAATATTCAACATACAGTGGGTATACAACAGAATCACCCCCCTTTAAAATATATCACATTCTGTAGCTTTGCTGCCCCTCTGACCAGTTTCCTCCTGGCTCTTTCATCTAGTTTAGTGCTATGTCCTGATTCAAGAAGGGTCAGTGTTGTACCAAATACCTTCCAATTCTTAATAATAGACTTCACTGTGCTTCTAGGCATTGATAAAGCCTTTGAAATTATTTTGAATCCATCTCCTGACTCGTTCCTGTCCACAACTTTATCCAGGAGATCTTTTTGACAGTGCCTTGCCACCTATAAATGATTGTTTGCTTCTGTTGCACTACCAGGGACTGAAATGCTCCAGGAAAGCTCTTTTCATGCTAAGCTAATCAAAATGACCACAGGTGATCACAGTTGAAAGACAAATGTGTGCCATTGAGAAGGCAATTAGCTACAGCTGATTGAGCTTACAACTCATTTTTTAGGAGGGGGGGTGATCCTTTTTCCAACTCAGTGATTCTGTTTTTGATTTTTTTTTTTAATTTTCTGACATGTTCGTGTTATATCTATCTTTCACTTCGATGTTATAAGTTGCACAGAGTAAATACAGCTGGATAAAACAAAAACCGTGTCTGTCTTCATTTCAGGCTGCAAAGCAACAAAATGCGATTATCTTAAAGGTGGGTGATTCTTTTCTATATCCACTGTATGTAATGCTGGAGAGGACTGTCAGAGACTGCAGACCTAATAGAGGAAATGAAGGTCAGAGAGACAATCTGAAACTGGTTACATGATGCCAGTGGAGATCAATGTTATTACCCTAATCAATGACCCACTAAAGACTGAAGTCCGAGGGCCGCACATCATACAGCAAAAAGCCGCAGGTTGGGCACCAGGGCTTGAAGAGTCTACAAAAAAACTGAAGGCCTTGCTTTTCTAAGGAGATGTTCCCATACCTATTACTGCAGTACCATGCAGTTGGGTGCAGCGGGATCTGCTTGCACTACTTTTTCTAGGGTCTGGTGCATTTTGAAGCCCATTCAAAAGAATGGGCTGTCAAAACCAGACCACATGGGAACTTGCACGAACTGACATATTTAGATTTTGTTCACCTTTCTGAAGGGTGACAATAACACGTAGAATTAGAAAAAACACAGACTGCCCTTAAACAATGTTGTGCAAAATATTTATAACTATAATACATGTAAAAACCAAGGATATAACTACAGACAAGGCAAATTCTGCAAATACTAAGACCATCTAGTTTTATGTTCCTCCAAACAGAATGTGCTCTATAATAGCTGCTTCCTGACAGTTCATTTATAACTTTCAAAACGAGAAGCTGCTGTAAAGATGAAGTAATTACTACAGGTTAAATTATGGATCAATCAGCTGTGACAGCCATACTGGTGAGGCAGACTGACAAGAGGTTCTGGCTGCTTGCTGTTAGGGCAAGGAGGTCTTCAATGATTTAGAAGTCAGCAGGTAGTCAAATAACTTGTAACCTCCCAGGATTCAAAGGCTTTATGGTGAATATTATTCACAGAGACAGCTTGAGTATCCAGAGATTTCAGGTGAACGTACTTGACAGGAGCTCTAGAGATTTTGTGAAGATACAATAGAAAGGAAAATAAAAAGATAATCCAACACAGATGGCAGACATTTCTGAAGTAGACTGGTAGAAGACAATCTATGAAGGATGTTAAGACTTTTTTTGGTAACACAGCTTAAGGCTAAGTATAGATGGGGCTGCAGGAGAACAGAGCTGATCTGGCAGTAGTAATGGCAATCACTGAATCGTAGAGTAAGTTCAGCTGTCGTACATACAGGTACATAATAATCAAAATGTATACAAGCCAAAAAAAGATCCAGTAACGTCAGGTCAGCTTTATGAAAATGCAATAGGACATGGGCACAAAGAATGATCTTGTACAGAAGTGGTTGTAAAGGCAGAAGGTGTTTTTTTTTTAACCTTGCTGCAATCTATGTAGTAAGGTTAAAAACCTTCTGCATGCAATTTCCCCTGCAGTCCCTCCAAATACACACCAAAGTCTGATCTCTATCCAGCGATGTGCACAAGAGCCGAGGCTCCCTCATCTCTCCCACTCCTCAATGGCTTAGATACAGCAACAGGAGCCACTGGATCCCACTGCTGTCTATCAGAGCCAGTAATGAGGAACGGGGGGTGTCTTATGGACAAACAGAGCGGGCCTCAGGAGCGAGCATGGATGAGTGCAAGCTGCTTGCTGTGGGGGCACTTGGGAGGGACCAGAGTGCTGATGGGATCCCCAGAACAGGATTGGGGCAGTTCTATGAAAAAACATTGCAGATGAGTATGTTTGTTATTTTAATAAAAAAAAAAACAAGCTTCAGAAATCATTTTAAAATAATAAAATATTTGTGTGTTAAACTAGAAAAGAACTATAAAAGTAGAAACATGAGAAAATTATAAAAATAATAAGTGTATGGTTAATTATTGAAACACCTGAAAAATCCTTGCAAATCTTGTGTGGTTTTTTTTTTATTTAGGATGTGGGGCTGGTTTGTACTTGCGTCCTATACTAACTTGTTTTGTACTTTTGAAGACATAGCACCACTCATCAGAGTGGGCTCCTTAGTTCAAATGAGCATTGGGAACGTATCCCAGAATTTATAGCCACATGGGCAACTCAGTTATCTTCGGTCCAGTTACCATATTCTAATGAAATACCAATCTATATCTCACAACACATTTCTTGACAACATACTGAATGGAAATAGATGCGCGAGTTAGCCTTTTGGGTATAAATGCTGGGAAAAAAGGCTATAATACACACATTGGAAAGCCACTTAATTGTCCTAAAAAAGATACTGCAATCTAAATGCAATTTTTCTTGTACACATTTGAAAATACAAGGACAAATGCAATTATGTATTTACAAAGATGTCACCAGAGATGGAATTCTCATCTTGTCTTTAGGTAGGAATGGCTCTGTGCACCCAGATTGGCAAGGGAATCATGGCCTTTTATGAACAAACCCTTCCATAGAAAGCCTCTGAATATTCTATTTATGAAGTCACTTAAAACAACTTGCACTTGGCTCATCAGCTAAAACTGTATCTTTTCCAGCCCTGACTTTATTAATCTGTCCTTTGGGAGCTGAACTTACAGACTTGCATCAGGTCTCCAAATCTTTTCTTTAGCCCTCTATCCATTTCTGTAATTAAATAGTAAAAAAGTACAGGCAAAATAAAACTTCCTAATAATAATCTATGTAAAGCCATGCCTGATCATTCCAATATAATCACATATTGGCGTTCGTGTTTATGGACAATACATGGCGTGGTGACTGGGATTTCTCAGTCCGCAACTTTAATAATAGATGAAGAAATATTACTCAAAATGACTTCATTTTATGGGCATTTATATATGTTTTATTATTACTTGCAGAAAGCCTTGCCACAATCTGAATAGCTACATCAGAAATTGAAATGTCAACCCTACTGAACCCGTACATGGTAGATTCTGGAATGTACACAGACGTTTTAAGATGAATGTGAGAAATCAGTGTTCAGATGATGCAAAAAGGAGTTTGAATAACATAAATTTCCTGGATTAGGTGAGGTTACAATATGCAGTATACATACCTCTATGCCACCCATTTGTAAATGATTTTCTTGAATGTTCCAGAGCTGATACAGTTAGGCAGCTATCATGTTTCACTTTGGCACATCACCTCCCTACGTGTCATTAAAGTCTCTAATTATATAGTAATAGTCTAAACCTGGGATATTTATAGGCTTCAGGGCACTCAAATTATGAGCTGAAGACCTACTTTAAAGTGTTACTAAGCACAGGAACCTGCATTCACATCTGAGCTCCCACAGTACACAGAACATGGAAGTGCAACAATTTTAGTAAATAGAAACTGCTACATACCTTTTTTCATCAGCACTTAAAGCAGTCTTGTGACTTCTATCAGTGTCCAGCCGAGCACTAGTTAAAGCTTGTAGAAGGAGTTTTAATTTTGCTCTAGGAGGATGCAGAACCCCTGACCTCTGTCTGGACAGTGCTGATTGGCCCTGTTCTGAGCACATGCACTCTCCCAAGAAAACAAAAACTCTTTACCCATACACACCAAACTGAGCATGTGCAGAGTTATTCCACACGATATGTCTTATCAGGCGATAAGAGGGGGACACTGGAAGAAGGGGAGGATCAGAGAAGTCAGTATCAAACAGCATTTATACACCATGCAGAGGATTAACACTTAGGTTCCACAGTGAGTATAACAAGCATGCTTTACTGCATGTACAGACTGATTTTACTGTTGTGGGTTTAGTAACACTTTAAAGCAGAGCTCCAGCCATTTTTGTAAAAATTACAAAAACTTTAGCAGCTGACTTTTAATAAACAGACACTTACCTGTCCCCAGATCCATGCTCACCTGAGGGGGGCCCGGCACCGACATTTTAGCTGTGGGCACGGCTGTAATAGCTTGCGGCATCACAGCTAGGTGACCGCTACGCACGGGGTTTGGTCCTGCAGTCTTCTGGGACCTGTGCTGTGCCCCAGAAGACTGTGAAGAGGGGGGTGGAGGAGCTTTTCCTGACAAAATATTCTCCTTAGTAGCCAGCACAAGGCTGAGATGGATGCACACTGTGTGAACTCCTTCCTAAGCCTGGGGGAAGCTGCTGACCTCCGCTACTATACTACCCAATCCTGCTTTCCCATGCAATACAGGGCAAGGCAAGGAAGTAAACTGATAGAGCTTACACTCCACAAGACCTGGGATCGGCAGAAGCGTTCCAGACCGCTTCACAGCACGGAACCAGAACGAAGAGCAACCGTCATTACAAAAAATGAAAGATCCTGTGTGCAGCACCCGGAAAATCCCCCAAAACACAGCACTGATACGCCCTAGATTCCTGCAGATGGCCTCAAACCCTTGAGGCAGACCTAAGCAGGGCAGTGTCTTTTGGAGGTGACTAGGGGCTAGCCTTCTACCCACTGATTATGGCCCATGGAAGAGAGCAGGGATTCTGTTTGCTTCATCCGGTCAGAGCATGGAAAAGAAGCCTCTGATGACATGGAGAGAGCGGATCAGTCTGTGATGATGGATAACATGATGAATGCTGAGAGCGAGGCTTGGATTCATTCTCTGCATTAAGACAATAAAGTTTTCCTTTTGGAAAGGACGGGAAGATGTGCGCCCAGCGAGATCCATGTCCTCACGCTAGGCACCGGCGTGACGTCACGTCCTTTACAAGGGGTCAGCGGCTCACGGATGCTGGGGTGGCCATATTGAGACGCCATTTTGTGTCATTGGCGGCACCTGCAGCTCCATCTCTTTGCTTGCGGCACAAGTGGATCGGATTACTTTCTGATAAGAGAATTACATTGAGACCTATATATATTGGATGCATTATTGCAGTTGGTTGTTGGCTTTCTTGCTTGAAGGTGGTCCCCCATGCTATCTTGATGGTTTTTTGAACATTATGTTTGTCTTTTGGTGAAGAGAAGCATTTATTGCTATGGGCAGTTGTGTCTGTATTTTCATGGCCTTATTTGACTTTTATTATAGCTGGATACAGTCTTGGTCCTTTGGGATCTGGGACATCTCTACAGTTCAGTAAGCATTGCAGTTAGACACCATAATAATGGTATTTATGTACTGTTTTAGGTAGCTGTGATAGTATTTCTATAACTTTTGACTTCAATTATAGATCAAATAATTGCATAATACCTTTGGTCCTGCGGGACTTGCAATATCTTTAACATAAAATGATGAATAATCCAGTTTATTATGCTCATTACTATGCCGTTAATACGGTTAGCTTTTTTCTATATACCAACCAGAAAACTAATTTTTAGGCCTGTTGAATAAGCCCTGGACCTAATTCATATTATATTTTCTGATGATTATAGAGAGATATAAAGGGTGATTTGGTGCTCTCCTGTTGCCGTCAGCATTATGAGATGGATATCTGACCACCATTGCTCTTCAGATAGTTCACACCATTAAAATCTTGGATCATGCAGCCTTATCTTGGATATCATTTCTATGATTGCTCTGATCAATATTGATTGCTCAATTCCCTTGTAAGGATCATAATGACAATAATATCGATGTTATCGATTAATTTCTTATGTGTAAATTATAAGTTATTCCTAATGTATTTAGAAATTCTCCTTGTATTTATGCCCCTGAAGATCAAAAAGTGGAGTGATCGAAGCGCGTCGGTTAACTTTATGGGAATCTTGTTATTCTATGAAGCAAATATCCTTGCAATATCCATCAGCACTAATGTTTTTAAAGATACTGTATCTTTCACAAGTATGCCCATGCAATAAAGCATATATTTTAAAAGTTTTTTTGAGTTTATGTGTAATGATATGGTTGGTGCATTAATGTGCCATAGGGGGATTCTCTATTTACAGGACAGGAAGGTGCAACAATAATCTTGTACAGGTTAATGGACAGAGGAAATATAGTGGCCCTCCTACCGGCTGGGTTGGAGAAGCTACTCCACTTGGGACAGAAATATTTATCATCAATCTCCCACAAGAAATCTATGAATATAATTCCACTTTTCCAAACTGTTGGAATATTGTATGAGTTTTGTTTTATGATGGACAGATTATACAAGTGAAAGCAAACACCTGATAGACAGCATGTGTAATGGACTTTGTGTATTCAGGGTTGGACTTGTTGCCGGTTTGCCTGGGATGGGCTCCCTGTTTAATCAAAGCATTGTCTAGGTGCCTGGCTGTTGATTAGCTTACTGTTAATTAGATCACTGTCTGCTGTACTGTTTACCGTTTGCACTGTTTAAGATAATGTGGTCACGCTCTTACCTAATCAGTGTGGGATGTTTATCCCAAAGTGTAATATTTGTTTTATTGTTCATGTGGGGACTGCCCCTATTTCTGAAGTATGTTCCTGTTCAATATCAATTGTTGCATCAAGCTGGTCTCATCTAGTGTTGGGTGCGATGCCCGGCTAGAATACCTTTTTCCTGGGTCCCAGCGTCGAGGAAGCAGTTCTCTGACAGAATCACCCAATTGGGGCGACAGGCAATCTGTCACAACTCTGTTCTCCAACATTCTCCTCCAATTCATCCCAACATGGAATAATGTTGGAAGTTACATCCAAAGGTTTTGTAAAAGCTCATATATATACGCTCAGGAGATGTGAACATCCCCAGAGAAAAGCTGTTTGCACAATATCCTGATATATATAGAAGATATACAGCATGTTACTATGTAAAATAAGTGCAGCGCTAATCCCGTGTCTCACGGATTCAAATATGACTTAACGTGGGCAGATTAGTGATTCCTAGGTACCAGCCCCTCAATCTGCCTCTACCATAGCTAAATGGATAACAGAACTAGATCATATATTTCAGAAGGAGCAATTGTTGATGGAAGAAAAACTATCCACATAAAGATAACTTGGATAGTGTTCAAGTAATCCCTTTCAACTCTTCACTTATCCTGCATAAGACCTAATTTTTACCATTCCATATGAAGTCAAGGGAGAGGTTGATCTTTCTTAGCCCCATGCTCCCCCATCTACAGCAAGTCAGATGCAGCCCGCCTCATTTGCTGGCTGAAGGACATCCAGCGTTATCTAGCCTTTTCGTCCCCAGACTGACTGTCCCTGGCCCATCCCTTTCATTCATTAGCTTTCAGTCGTCTCAATCGCGGAGACTGAGCATAACATGCACACTCTACATTGGGCATGCAACTGCAGCCTGCCTAGGAGTGCCCACACTTCCAGACTAACATCTGACCATCAGGAAATTTCAATATTGGCACAACTACTCCCAAAAAGCCCCTCTCTGCTTGCGTCAGGGTGTTTGAGAGAAGTCCTGATGCAGGGTGCTTTGATGTTTTCAGGATGCTATGTATGGCACCCTGCTGGCCTCACACCATTCATGGTCTGCCTGCATTGCTTGGACAACAACAGATACCCAGTGATGACATCATTGGGTGTAAAATAAAGTATGTATTGAAAACAGAAAAGCATTATTTAAAAGTATTATTAGCATGTTAAAGAGAAAGGAGAGGAGGAATCAGGGAAGGCAAAATATAGGCAGATTAAACTTCAGTTTTACCAACCTAATCACATATCTGTGCAATCTCTATGCCGCATATACATTGTGTTATAATTTATACAAAATAGTTATGTTTATTCAAAAAGAGAATAAGCAATGTGTATAGAGAGGCAACCTATGGCTTGTGAATTCATCATTCAGCTATTTTACTTTAACAAAATGGAATCTGATTGGTTGCCACAGGTTTCTTCATTCTGGTTTGTTGATGCCATATTCACATTTTTACAAAAAAAAAAAAAAAAAAAAGCCTAAATAATATTTTGAATGAAGTGCACAATCCTGATAAATATTTGCTTGGAAGAAAAAAATTGGCTCCAAAATTAAAAAAAAGATCTGATAGGGGACAGAAAAAAAATTAGGATCTTTGAAGCGGTATTAAACCCAAAAGCAAACATTTATTATATGGCACCTTCGCAATGCTTAGATGATTTTGGTGATTCTGGTGATCTTGCCAGCAAGTCTATTGTTTTTCAAAAGAACAAGCTCTCTTCCATATGTATCAGTTTGCAGAAATGAGATAAACCATTTACCACTGACAGGGGTGTTTACAATGTGCAGCTTTTGTTTATTAATGTAAAACCTTGATCCCAAAAGAAAAAAAAAAAAGTTTGCTGTAATTTACTATAAAATGTAAGCTGTGAGTTTGACTTCTATTTGTTAGTGTATTTAAATCTTCTAGTACATCTAACACTCCCCTTCTCTCAGACTGACAATGCTGCTATCTGCTGTGCCCCGTGTGCTCCTTCATCCAGAGTGGGGGCATTATAATACAGGAGGTGTGTTACTGGCTGGAACAGCTGGGGAAAGCAGAAGGAAGAAAAGCCTAAAAAAAAGTGGGGCGGCAGAGTGGCTAAATGGTTAGCACTTCCACCTGGCAGCACTAGGGTCGTCCTACCGGTACTCCGGTTTCCTCCCACACTCCAAAGACATGCTGGTAAGTAATTGGTTCCTCTCTAAATTGGCCCTAGTATGTGTATGTATGAATGTGAGCTAGGTGCCCTAGTATGTATGAATGTTCAGCGCTTACGTGTGTGTGTGTGTGTGTGTGTGTGTATATGTATGTTCAAAATAATAGCAGTGTGTTGAAAAAAGTGAATAAAGCTCAAAATCCTTCTAATAGTTTTTATTTCCATACACACAAATGCGTTGGGAACACTACACATTCTATTCCAAATCAAAACATGAAGAAAAATAGATCAAATTTGTGTTGTTCCTCTAAAGA